TTGCTGTGCACATGGTGTAGGAGAAGGATCGGCGCCAGGGCGGGGTTGCTGTTCTTCCCTGCAGCCACAGAGCCGGTGCTGGGGTTTGAGTCCAGAGCTGTGCCCCGCAGAGCGGCCCCATCACACTTCCGTGCTGATATCGACCACAGCCTCGCATCTGTTGATGCCAGTAACTGAACTTCCTTGGGACAGTTATGTAGCATTTTATTGGATGGATGTATTTATTACATTCTTTATTTTGAATGTTGCCAGTTTTGCGTTTTGCTGTTTTAGTGCTTCGGTGAATTTTTTTTGTGCGTGTCTTCACAAACATGTAAAATGCTTCTGTGGGGCTGAATTTCTAGAAGTGTGCTGTGTGGGTGACGGGCTGTATGTCTCTGCAGTTGGATAGGTATCTTAGTTACTACTGAGGGCAGGTAGCACTCATACCCTTAATCCTAGTGCCCTTTGCACCTCACACTGCACCATGAAGCAGCCCCAGCGTCACACACTCTAGATCCAGCTGCCTCTGGAAAAGCCCCGCCTGTGACTGCATGCATCTTTGGGGGGGGGGGGGGAAACACCTAGACACAGCCCTAGCAATAAGTAACCTGAGACTTCCTACAGAGTGACTCTTCAGCACTCTGCTCCCACCCACACGTAACTTCTGCCACCCTCAGGATCAGCCTAGACTTCGCATTAAACTTCCAGGTGGAGTTAGTGATATTCAATGTTTTCCTTAAAGAAACTGACTCTAACTAAGCCTAAGGTATCTCTCAGTTTCTTTGCTTGTAGATGGAGGGTTCTTTACACACATCATTCTTAAAATTTATGTATGCATGTGTGTATTTATACATATAATGTGTAGGCCTCTTGATTTTTGTCTGTTCATGTAGTAATTAGTCATCTTACTGAATTCCGTTACTTTTAGTTTTTAATTCATTTTCCACTGTATTCTAGGTAAGCAGTGATCATTTATAAATACATTTTGACTCATTTTCCACAGTATTCCTTTTGTGATCCCCGAACAATGTTAAATTGCACAACAGTGTTAAATGATAGTGGTCTAGCAGGTCTCCTTGGACTACTTCTGATTTTAGTAGGGACGCTACTGCAGTCCAGCGTTTGACGTGAGAGACTCCTGCTCCCATTGGTGTAGGGACTAAATGCTTCTCTGTTTAGAGCTTGGGTTCTTTTTCACTGCTAGTTGAGCCTAGACCTTTTTTTGGCTACACTAAATTGCGTAAAGAATTTGAATGGAAAAGTGTCTTTCATGGAATACCTAAAATCACATTATTCTAAGTAATAGGACGGAATTGACACAGTTGAGTCCCTTCTCTAAGCCTCTGATCGGCTTTAAACTTCAGCACCTGGATGTGTTGTATTTGGTAAACGTGGCGAGTGGTGGTGGTTTTGCTAGGATGTGAGCGTGAGGTCGGGCCGCGCCCGCTGTGCGAAGATGCCGCGGTGGTGGCCTGTGACGTCAGTCGGGACTGTGGTTCTGGTTGGACCCTCGGAACCCGGGGGTGGGGTGTGCTCGTGGAGCGCACTGCGCCTGCGCTGGTCGGGAATTGGGTTTGCACAGGACTGGCTGGTTCTTCCCGGCTGCCTACAAAAAAATGGAGACTGGAAAAACTCAATTGGAAGTCATGTTCGTAACAGGTAAATTTCTTTTTCTTTTTTTTCTTCACCACTGGAGATCATACCCAGGAGCACTCTACTGAGCTATACCCCCAGTTCTTTTTATTTTTTTTTTAATTTTTGGGCAGGGTCTCTCTAAATTGCCCTGATAGGACATGAACTTGTGACTCTCTGGCCTCATCCTCCTGAGTGCTGGCGTCACAGGTGTGTGCTACCACAGCCAGCTAGAATACTTTTTTTTTTTTTTTTTTTTTAGCTTTTTCCGGATTTTAATAAGGAAACATTTAAACATACAAATAATAGTAAAGTAATAACTGAGATGTACATAGACACCATTGTTGTACTTTTTTTTTTGTACTAGGAATCAAACTGAGGACTTCGTGTTTGCCAGGCAGGCACTGTGCCGCTGAGCTATATCCTGGCCCTCTTCTACTATTTTTATATATATTAGCCCATTCCATTATCATACTAACCCCAGGAGGTAGATTGGATGATCAGGGGCTGGGGATTTAGCTTAGCGGCACAGCGCCTGCCCGGAAAGCACAAGGTCGTGAGTTTGATCCCCGGTACCAGGAAAAAACCAAAAAAAAAAAAAGATTGGATGATCATCCCCATTTTACAGATGGGGAAATAGACATCCCGAAGTAGCCAGCAAACGACTAAGCTGGGATGTGAATCCAGTCAAATGAATTGTCTAAATAAAACTCAACCAAAAAATAATGTAGCAGACATGAATGGTGCTTAGCATCTAACTTGTAATAAAGGTTAACATTTTACCATATTTATTTTAGTTGTTTTTAAACTCCTTACCTATAGTCAAGTGTTTTCTCATCTGTAAGTAGAAGATCATAATAGATTCTGGTCTTTTCTGGTTCCATTAAATTTTTTCCTGAATTTCGGTGCCCTTCTTTCAAACATGGGTCTTCCTCCCAGGACTCTGACCGTGATTACCTTTTCCTACATCAGGGAGCGTTCATTCCGCAGGTCGGAGACGTGTTGTGCCACACACCAGGCACTGTGCCAGGGAGGGAGCAGGGATAACAGTCAACAAGGACCCTGCTAGGCGTGGTGGCGCACATCTGTAATCACAGCACTTGGGAGGCTGAGGCAGGAGGATCGTTGAGAGTTTGAGACCAGCCTGGGCTACAAAGTGAGCTCAAGGCCAGCCTGAACTGCATAGCGAGACCCTGTCTCAAAAAGACAAAAAAAAAAAAGAAGGACCCTGCTCCTGAGGTCACCAAACTCGCACTCTCACCCTGTGGGAAGATAGATTTATTTCAGTGCTTTAAGTGCAAAGGCATAGTTATTTTGGGCAGCGAGTGATGTGGCCTGTTTAGCCTTTCTTTTATCGCAGTAACCTGGGACTGAGGAAGAGAAGGGTTGAAGGTAGGGAAAGGAAGTGGAGGATTAAGGTATGTTATGTACAGGCACAGTTTCTCTATGCTGAATATGACCTGTGTGCATGACAGATGCGCACTAGTGAAAAAACGTAAACAAAAACCACAAACAAAACAAATTGTGAAGGCCCTGGGTTCAGGCACCATTACACCGCTGGGGAATGGATTTGAGGATTTTAGTGACTTCTGGCCTGCTTGTTAGAATTCTGTGAGCTGCTTTAGTCCTGAGTCAGTAATTCAGCTTAGTTATATTTATTGTCTAGAGCATACTTCCAGAATGTTAGTCCATTAAGGGATCTGTCATTTTTGAAGTTCAGTCTGTTTTGAAATTCAGTCTGAGCTGCCAGTGTTGTGAAGATCCGCGGTGGTGTTCCCGTGTTCCCGCAGCTCTTAGCTTAGAAACTTCTTCCCTGTGGGCGTGGAACCGTTGAGCGGGAGACTTGTGGGTGTATTTGATCTGTGCTTCCTTTCTGGGCTGGACGAACTTCTGGCAGGGCTGGCCCAATGGGTCCTGGAGTCACAGAGCCTGAGCCTGCCCTTTGACCCTGAGTGGGAGGAGCTGGAGCACAGGGAGGGTGAGCTGCAAGGTGTGGTTCAGGGCAGCTAACTTTTGTCCCTCGTCCCTGTCTGTTCACTATATGTTTGAAAATACACTGGGAGATGGCAAAATACACTCACAGATCATAATTAGAATTAGAAATACCACTACGTCAGAAAATTTAATGCTCTCGGCGGGCATGCCTATAATCCTAGCACTTGGGAGGCTGAGGCAGGAGGATTGCCCTGAGTTCAGGATCAGCCTGGGCTATATAGTGAGTTCAAGGCCAGCCTGAACTACATAGCAAGACCTTGTCTCAAAAACTTAAAAAAATTAGTATCCAGCATCTTGAAAGACTGTAACAGAGAATCAGTTGTTAGAGTTACTTTAAGGCTGATGGAGAATGCTTTGTTCCTTGTAAGCATTATTGCGGTGTAACGCTGAGGCAGTGCACGCTTCACTGTGAACAGAGCAGCCATGATGCGGAGGGAGGAGCGCCTGGGTTTCTCAGCTTGCTCACTGCCTCTCAGCGTCCCCTTCAGCAGATGGTTGGAGGGTGCCCCCCCCCCCTGTTTAAGAGATTAGCAAATGCTTCTGGAACAGATAGTAGTATTTTGGCATTTATTTTAGTAAAGACTTTTGGAATCTATCATACGGAATATCTTGACAGAAAATGGGCTTCTTCTGAAATGAGATGATAAAGAGATGCTTCTGTCAGATGAGTCTCAGGAGATGGCAGGAGCTGTTTCAAGACATATGCCATGACATTTAAAGAAGATTATGTAATCACCCCCTCCACCCCCAGAGTTCAGGATGTGTGGGAAATGGGTGTCCTTCCTGCAGAGCCGGCGCTGGAGCCAGCCTGGGTGCTTAGGTGCGCTCTTCCTCTGCCCTTCACTCGCGGTTTGCCTTGGGCGGCTTGGAGAACTTGCCAGTGACTTCGTTTTCTCATCTGCAGAACAGGAATAGCATCTACTTTCTGAGGATTTTTGTAAAGATTAAAAGAACATAGAAGATTCTAAACAAATTTTAAATTATGCTTCTTGCTTTAGCAGGGGCAAGCAGTCTGCTGCTTCTCATTGTTTGAAAGGGGAGGCGTGGAGTCTCTCAGGTCAGGCCTGATGTTTGTTGAGAGAAAGAAAGCTTCTACTAATAGGGACCGAAGGGGATCCCAAGAGGGTGACCCCCAGAACCACTTTGAAAATCATTAAGGGTACACAAGTGTAACTTCTGTGTTAGTGTGTGTGTATTTCTATTCTAGTAGAAACAAACGTTTTAAATTTTATACACTACTTTCTTTGAGGTTAGTGTTTGGTTTTCAATGACCACACTTTTTTGAATTTCAAGGGAGTGTGTGTTAGGACTTGAGATTACTAGTAAAGACATGCACGGGACCTCGCTGAGCACTGTGATCTAAACATGTGTTGATGGCTTTGTGCTTTTAGGTATACCAAGCTTGGCTACGCAGGCAACGCTGAGCCGCAGTTCATTATCCCTTCATGTAAGTAAAGCTCTCCTCTCCAGTTTTAAAGGCTTGTGTTTCAGCTTTCTCGTTCCTATCTAGTTCTGTTTCTCAAGGTGTGTTAATTGACCCACTGTCTTCTTTCAGAAGATTGTCCACATAGCTGGGAGGGGTTATTTGTTCGATGGCCAGTTCCTGGATGTATCAGGCGGTGGTTTAGTAGTTGTACCCCGAAAACCCCCAGTGTTCTAGTCCTTTGATCCCCTTCCGATGCAGTTCTGTGTCACTTCCTGGAGTTTCATCTTGGGGGTGGCTGGCAGGGTTTTTTCCATTCAATCATAAGTGCCTGAACTGCCTAGAAGAGGTATATTTGGCTCTTTAAGGCCCCATGTACAATTTTAAGTAAGTGTAGTTCTGATGGCTCGGCACCTTCGTGGACTGAGTATCTCCTGTGCTGCTCTGTTTGCGATATTGAAAGATTTTTTTTTAAAAAATGGGAAATGAGAGATGTGTTGACTGCTTTTGTTGTGTTGAAGAGTGTTCTGTTCGGGTTTAATTTTTAGTCTTTAGAAAGTGATAAGCTCAAAGAAGGACCTCACGTATTGGCACAGGTTCATCCCGGCCACACGATATTTTCCACAGGAGTCTGCCAGGGTCAGGGAAGGGGTTCGTGTGTGGAATCTTCCGCAGCCATCTGATCCCGGGTGATCATTTGGGGGTAGTGTGCCTGAGAGGAGTGCGATCTCCAAGAGTGAAGCTGGGGTCTTGTAAGCTGTCCGTGGCGAGGGGGTCGGTGGCACTGTGACAGCAGGCTCCTGTGGCCAGGACAGAAGTGCCGATCAGCACTCACTCAGGAGAACGTGAGTGCTGTAGTCACTAGCAGGGGCATCCCGGTTTCTCGAGAACATTTATGTCGCCTGGTTCCAGCTCCTTGCCTGCTGGATAACCGACCGTGATTTTGATTTTCCTGTTAAACACTTGGATGCCACAAATGGGTTTTCTGGATGATAGGCTTTGTCAGTGTGCTGTGCCCTTACTTTATGTTATGTTATGTTATTTTTTATCTTTTTGAGACAGGGTCTCGCTATGCAGTTCAGGCTGGCCTTGAGCTCACTTTGTAGCCCAGGCAGGTCTCAGACTCGCAACCATCCTCCTGCTTCAGCCTCCCGAGTGCTGGGATTACAGGTGTGCATCACCACGCCTGGCGTTGTGCCCTTGTTTTAAATTCATACATTTGGAGTATGTGTCTGCTTGTGCTGCCATAACAAAATGCCAGTGTGGGTAACTGCACCAGCAAGGGTTCATTTTATCCAGAAGGTTTCTGGAAACTCAAGAGTCCAGTCCAGGGTCGGTCGCGAGCGGTTTCTGGTGCGGTCTCTTCCTGGGCTTGCCCGGTGGGTCCCTGTCTGCCTCCTCTTGAGCGAGAGTGTGGGGCGGGTGGGAGCTCTGTGGCGCACCTTCTGAGGCCGCCTCTTCTGCGGGGTTCCGACGCTGTGCCCTTGGACCCCATTGGCCTCGACCACCTGCCGAGAAGTCCTTCTCCAAATGCAGTCACGTGGGGCTTAGGGAGTCAGCACGTGCCTCTTCCGGGGAACTGGGCCCCATCTACAGCAGTTGACATTCTGCAGGACGAATTGGTTTTTGTGAATTTTATTAACGTGAATATCCAGAACTTGATCACTCCATGCTGAGTTGACAAATTGGACTTCCTAACGTTCAGAGCAGAAGATGAGATTTTAATCTTGTTAAGTGCATCAACCAAGAAAGACTGACCTTGTGCCATTCTCTTTAATGTGCTGCCGTTTAAACTGTCAGCAGCATCCAGTTGGCAGCACCGTTGAACCTGTCACCATGAACAGAGAAGTGAAGACAGTTATTAACAGGGTTTCATTCCCTGTCAGAGGCAGCTGAGCTCGTAGACGGGGCTGTCAGAACCTTCGTGGTGGCAGAAGCAAGAAGACAATAAAAATGTCAGAGAGGTGGGAGTGCAAGAATAGTCACAGCGTTGCTGCGGTGGTTACGGGAGCTCGAGGGATGCCAGGAGGGGAAGGGTAGATGTTTTGGCAGAACAGAGGGCCTTGGTTACCTTGGAAGTTGGGCCTGCTGCTGGACTTGGTTCCTGGGAGTGGAACCATTTTTCTCTTTACAGACTTGTCACAAGATGAATTCTGGAACTTAGTATTCATGTGGTATCAAAAAAGGAAAGCTGGGTTGGAGGTGTAGCTCAGGGGCGGAGCATTTTTGCCTGGCATATGTGAGGCCTGGCTTTGGTCCCAGCAGGGGCTTGGGGGTACAGGGAGAGAAAAGCCTTTGCGCATGCGTGTGTGTGTGTGCTGGGCCTGGAGCTAGGCTGACTGTGGATGCCAGGGTGGGACAGCGAGGGTAAAGCAGGAGCCCCGTGATAGATCCCGCAGGTCACAGCTGCCGGCGGAGGGCAGGTGTGGTTGGCAGGGTGGAGAAGGGCTGTGTGATGGATCCAGAGCGTCTCCTGAGTTTTCCTTGCCTTGCTCACGGTGGGATGTCCAGGCTGTTTCTGAGGGCCTGCTTCTGGGGCCTGAGCTCTAGGCCAGACCGGCCCTCAGTCCACCCTGGCTCTGCTCTGTCTGGTTGGTTTGAGCTGTGCAGAATTTGCTCCATTGTTTGAAGAAAGATTTTTCCTACTTTTTTTTCTTGTTAACGTTGTTGGAGATTATTGGGAATCTATTTAAGGCAGAGGAGGAAGAGGACAGAGAAGGAGCAGGAAGGGGTCAGGAGCAGAAGCACGTGGGTGTTGGGCGTTGCGGAGGTCAGGTTGGAGGGCCCGGGGGGCAGTGGCGTGGAAGGCCTGCTGCCCAGGGAAGAGGGCTGGACTGCAGAAGGAGCTTGAGCCCTGACATATTCTTGGTTTTTATTAAATAGAATCTTAAAATTCCAATTTTGGCAAAGAAAAGCAAAAGAAAATACCATAAGGTTCTGGGTCAGGGGTATAGCTCAGTGGCACAGGTGCCTGCCTGGCAAGTGCAAGATCCTGAGTTCGATTCCTGATACAAAAAAAAAAAAAACCAAACCCCAAGATATCCTACGGTTGCATGGACCCACTCCTGGACTGAACACGTTAGCAGTGTTTTGTACTCAGTATATAAACATGGTCCTGTGCTGTGCTGCAGAGTTTTGGTCAGCGATGGCTTGTGTCGCTGGTCCTGTGTAGTTGCATCACCTAGGGATGGTGCAGCGACTTTCGTCTGTGTGCGCACCGTTTGGTGTCAGCACAACTGTGACAGCTAACGGTGCAGCTTCTCGGAAGTGACCCTTGTCATTGGGTGGCATGACTGCACCGTGCCGTGCAGGTCAGGTCCCAGCATTTCCTTCTTTACCCCCTCAACTCACTTCTCCTCTGGGAGATATTTTCTGCTAGGTTTCTGTTCCATTTTTTAATCTTTAAATTATATATACCAAGATATAGTACATTGTTTTATGCACTTAAAATTTTATTTTACGTTTCTAAAGTGACTGTACTATCTGCATTATCTTTTTACAAAACTTCGACATTGTGTTTAAGATTGATCAGTGCTGATGTCTACAGATCTAGATCAAAATTCAAAGATGAATATGAAGGGCATTCTCCAGTTTTTCTGTTGTACAAAACGTTGGTAATAGAGTCCCCCTTGGGAACATGTATCATTTCTCTTAAGAGGGAGTAATCAGGAATGAAAATGTTTCATCCTAAGACATGCAGCCCTTCACCCTTAGTAGGTACTCTCAAGTTGTTTCTGAATGCGTGTACTGATTGACGCCCATCAGCCGTGTGTGAGAGTTCTGCTTCCACCTAACCCTTTCAGCAGCAGGTATTATTAGACTTCATTTTTTTCCAGTCTAATGAAAGATCATTTTTAAAATTTTTATTTCTCTGATTAGTGGTAAGGTTGAGTGCCATTTTTGGCCTGTTCATATCTTTGCTTTTTTTTTTTTTTTTTTTTTTTTTTTTAGACAGGATTCGCTATGCAGTTCAGGCTGGCCTTGAGTTCACTTTTTAGCCCAGGCTGGTCTCAAACTCGCAGTGATCCTCCTGCCTCAGCCTCCTGAGTGCTGGGATTGTAGGCATGTGCCACCATGCCTGGCTTTTTTTTTTTGGTTTTTGAGAGAGGGTCTTTCTATGTAGCCCAGGCTGGCCTTGAGATCATTATATAGCCCAGGCTGGCCTTGAAATCACGGTGATCCACCTACCTCAGCCTCCTGAGTGCTGGGATTTCAGGTGTGTGCCACTGTGCCTGGCTTCTTTGCTCATTTTTCTGTGACATTTTAAGATCTTTTTTGTGGTGCTTTATGGACTCTGTAAGTGGTGAATACGAAGTTGTGGCAGGTACCTTCTCCTTCTCTGCGGCTGTTTAATACTCACTTTCCATCACTGGGACACAGTACCTGATACAGTTTGAGGAGAGGTTTGTTTTGGCTCATGGTTCAGGGAGTTCAGTCTGCGGTCACTTGGCTCCAAGACAGAAATGACGCGATAGAAGGGCTTGAGGGAGGGAGCTGCTCAGCCTGCAGCGGCCAGGAAGCAGGGCGCCAGAGCAAGAAGTACACATCGCCTTAAAGAGTGACCCGGCCCCCTTCCTCCACCCAGGCCCCTACGCCCAGCGGCACACTCAGCTGTGCACTCCTCTGTGAGTCCGTGCACACAGGGGTCTTGTCTTTTCTGAGTGTAGGAGGCTTGTGGGGATATTCTAGATCTACTCTGTCTCTGTCTCTACTGGAGTTGTTTTTTTTTTAACAGGGAAAAACCACGTAGCGCTTTATTATTGGTACACTCATGACGGGCAGGTCTTCACGGGGCCGGAGGAGGTCCCCACAGCAGGGACCAGCGATGAGCGGGTTCCGCAGTACCGCGATGACCGAGTTCGGCTGGAGTTCGAACCCAGGGCCTTATGCTTTGTAGCCAAGTGGTTTATCTACCAAGCGGTACCTCTAGTGACCTATGACTTTTTTTTGTTTGTTAAGGTCTGAGTTATAAATTGATTGCCTTATTTCCGTTAAGGTATTCCTGATGTTTGAGATTTTTTTTTTTTGAGCTGAAGCCTGGACATTTAGGTAGAATGTTTTGAGTGCTGGATCTTATTTTAAGGGGGATGACCTTTTGTTGTCAGGTTTTGGGGCCCTGGAGTCTCCTTCTGGAGGTGGTTTCTAAGTTCTTTCTGTCCTGAGTGATGAGTTGGTCAAGACAAGTGCGCAAAGTAGTGAGGAAAAAATATGCTGTGATGAGAGGGTTTGGGCCGAGTAAAAGCAGGAAAGGAAGTGCACTGTGCAGCGAGGGGGTGGGCCGCTGCGAGAGAGCACAGCGCCGGGGGCTCGGCGGGGCCTGTGCTTCCGAGTCTCCCCCTCCTCCGGCTCACGGCAAGTCTAGGCCGGCTGTCAAAAACTTGCTCAAGTTCTCGAAAGAATGTTTTTGTTCGTTTGTTTTGTGACGGGTCTTGCTGTGTAGCTCAGGCCGGCCTTGACTCACTGTGTAGCCCAGGCTGTCTTCAAACTCACAGTGATCCTCTCCCGAGAAGAATTTTGAAGACAGCACCGTGATGGGTGCCGTGTGCGGGCCTTTGGGAACTGTTCTGTGCGTGTGTCCTGGGACTTTCTAATCACGCCCAGTCCCAGCCCGTCCGCCACGCCCTGGTCGCCCTCCTCAGTCTCCTTCCTGCCAGTCTTGGTTCTCCCCTGGGGTCTGGGCGCGGGGCTGGGACAGGCTCGGTGCTCATGCGGGGTGAGGTAGAGGTCAGGGTTCCGTAGCATGCTAGCAGTAGAGTGACGCAGTTACTCCTTTACGGGGAATATTGGTGCCTGTCTCCTGGACACGTTTTCCCCGTTGTGTTCCTGTGGGCTGTGTGGGCTGCATCTTGGTTTGTGTAGCTATATAGAAAAGCTTCTGCATGCATCTTCTTACTTACGTTTTTCCTTCTTCTCCTCTAACTGTGGATGAAACCCAGAGCCTTCTGCAGACCCTGTGCCACTGAGCTGCCTCCCCGGGCCACGCTGTGTATCTTTACTGTCTTGCTTGGGTTCAGTTGACATATTTATATATTGTATATTGTATGTTTTATATAGTATGTATTAGTTAAAATTAGTATTCTTTTTTTTTTATTTCTGAGGGCATCCATACATAGATCTATTAGGATTTGAGATCATGGTATTTTTAACTTTTTTGTTTTTTTTTTTTTTTGGTTTTTCTCCGGTACCGGGAACTGAACTCACGACTTTGCGCTTGCCAGGCAGGCACTTTGCCGCTGAGCTAAATCCCCAGCCCCATTTTTAACTTTTTTGGAGAGGGATAAGATTTATTTTGTTATCATTTAAATTTTTATTTATTTATTTATTTAGCATATTTATTATTTTTTCTTTTTTTGGTACTGGGAGTTGAACTCAGGACCACTGTTCATTTAAATTTTTAGTGGAATAGTTTTCTTGCTGAGTTTATTATTATTTATTTAAGGTGGTGATTTTATTTTGACAAGGGACATTACCCTCAAGTTCTTGGCATAGTTGAATGACGTCATGTAGTAGAATCTTCTTTCTTTTGTCTCTTGGAAATCGTTTTGTTTTGTTTTTGAGACAGGGTCTCACAGTGTAGTGCAGGCTGGCCTTGAACTCACTGTGTGCCAGGCTGACCTCAACTAATGGCAATCCTCCTGCCTCAGCCTCTCAAGTGCTGGGATTACAGGCACGTGCAATCACGCCTGGCTGCTGGCAGTGTTTTTTGGGTTGTCAGTTTAATTCTGAACTCACATATAGTTAAATCTGATTTGCTGGAGGATGGGGTGTGTTGCTGGAGCTGGCAGACTGTATCTGGGGTCTACTGTAGGCAGTCTTCTTAGTGGTCCTCTGGGTACTTAACTCACGCGTCAGAGTCTGTGATAGACGGGGTCCCAGGAGGCTCCCAAGATGGAGATAAGGAGCCTAAGCCACCCCGCCTGCAGAGTGAGTTGCAAGCTCTCTAAGCCCATCCTCGTGAAAGCAGTTTCCAGACAGTCAGCAGGGGCATGGGATGTGGGCAGGGGAGAGGGAGAGACTGAGTCCGATGAGAGAGACCCGGAGCGATGGAGAAGGTGGCCTGCTTCCCAGAAGCGTCCTGGCCTTCTCACAGCTGAGAGCCTGTCTGTCTGTCTCCTTTTCTCTGCGATGGATGAGATGGGGATTGAGACGTCCTTTAGATTCTGTCAGTCTGTTCTTTACCTTAAGAGCAGGCTCCTGCTCTCTGTTGTCTCGCAGGGGCTCCAGTGTCCCGAGGAATTCGGAGAGTCATGGGCCTGGAAGGAGGGAGCCGAAATCAGTCAAGGGATGCGGAGTCACGGCGGGGGACTTGACTGGGTCCTGGAAGTTGCAGTCTTTTTTTTCTTCTTGTTTTTGTACCTTCTTTTTTTTAAACCTGGAATCCAACTCAGGATGTTGTGCTTGCCGTGCAGGTGCTTGTGCCACTGCGCTGTCCCCCGGCCCTTCTTGTCTTTGTGTGTTGAGGCAGGGTCTTGCTGTGTAGTAGACTGCTCAGAACACAAAAACAGGAGCAGCACAGAAGCAAGAGCGGAGGCCTTGGGGACTTGCAGGGCCGAGTGTGGGGGAGGGAGGAGTGCACAGAGCTATTTCTGCCCTGGAGCCTTTTCTTTTCACCCCGGTACTTCAGATGCCTTTCTGAGGGAGAAGCCGGTTCTGTTAGCTTCACTGTTGTTCATCTGTAAAATTGGAGATTCCAGGTAACTTAGTTTCACAAATACTTGTGTGTGTTATTTTGGAATAAATTCACAGTAGACTTGGTTGTTTTCTCTTCAAGGAGATTCTATAGCCTGGTTCACCTCGAGAGCTTTTCCTTTGGAAAGGGTGCTCGCAGAGGGCAGATGGATTTGCGAGGTTTAAGGTGGTGTTTACAGTTTGATTTCACAAACAGAAGAGTTTTCAGTTGATTGTGTTTCTTGTACCATCGTTGGCAGGCTCAGCCTCCAGGGAGCTGGGGTTGTGGGTGTCACCGCCATGCCCCGCTATAGTTGTTTGATTGTTGGAGTTTTCTTTTTGCAACAGGTGTTAGCAGAGTTTCAGGTTTTCCTTTCAGTGGGAAGTCACAGCTGTTTGGTATTTTCTCCCATAACAAAGTTAAAAAAATATATTTTAAAGTTATTTGGTGTAAAATTTTATTAAAATGACTTAAGAACATACAGACATTTATGAGTTTCCTGTCCTTTCTTGTATTTTGTCCCCTTCTGCACTGTTTAAACATTCTAAACTACTGGAGTAGATGGGCATGGTGGTGCACGCATGTAATCCCAGCACTTGGGAGGCTGAGGCAGGAGGATCGTTGCGAGTTCGAGACCAGCCCGGGCTACAGTGTGAGCTCAAGGCCAGCATGAACTGCATAGTGAGACCCTGTCTCAAAAAGACAAAACAAAACAAAACAAAAAAACCTACTGGAGTATAATCCAGACATGTTTCACTTACTGTCTTGAGACATTTTTCCAGATGAAACTGAGAAATTTAGTAATATAGTTCCATCAACATTAATAGCAGACCAGTTGCTGGGTGTGGTGTGTGCTTGTAATCCCTAAACACTGGAAGGCTGAGACAGGAGGACTGCAAGTTTAAACCTAACCTTGGCAGTTTAGTGACTTAGCAAGACACTGCCACAAAATACGACAATAAAAGGGTGGATGTGGCTCAGTGCGAAGTCTCTGGGTTCATTCTCTAGCACTGCAAACAAACAAAACAAAGAACAGAACCAAAAAACCGATCAGTTTCTTTGTACCGTGTGAACATAATACTGGAAATGGTAACTTGTTTCTGAGTCGTTTCATGTACTTCTCGACAGTGCCTTTTTCTGTGAGCACCTGTAATCCCAGACGAAGCTCTGCATTAAAAACTTACTTGTGCATCTGTAGTGGTTGTATTACCCTGCTTGCTCATTCAGATACATGTGGGTAGTGACAGAAATCTTTGTGGCTTTTAAAAATCGTTTCCTTTTGTATTTTTAAGGCATTGCCATCAGAGAGTCCGCGAAAGTAGTGGACCAAGCCCAGAGGAGAGTGTTGAGGGGAGTTGACGACCTCGATTTTTTCATAGGAGATGAAGCCATCGACAAACCTACCTATGCTACAAAGGTAAACTCTGCCGGCAGTGTGCTTGTTTACATGCGGAGGCAAGAACAGAGCAGCAGGCTGGGCATGGTGGTGCATGCCTGTAATCCCAGGAGGCTCAGGAGGCTGAGGAGGCTGAGGCAGGAGGGTTGTTGGGAGTTTGAGGCCAGCCTGGGCTACATAGTGAGACCTTCTCTCAAAAAGACCGAAAAAGGGGTTGCAGATTTAGCTTAGTGATAGAATGTTTGCCTAGCAAGCTGGAAGCCCTGGGTTTGGTCCTCAGCACCAAAAACCAAACCAAACCAAACCAAACCAAACCAAACCAAACCAAACCAAACCAAACCAAACCAAACCAAACCAAAAGAGAAGTGGCCAGTTGTCTAGAAATTCTGTCTAAATGACGAGCTGTGGAATGTGGTCTTATCTTCGTGGTTGAACAGGGGATTGCTTCTGAATGGGTGGGTATATGTGTGAGTGGAGAACCAAGTGGATTAACAAATTCCTGGGGTGCAGAGTTGGATCAGGGAATACGTCACCTGTGGATGCAGGATCTCTGGGAACCCGAAAGGCGACTCACGAACCTGTCAGAAATGGAAAACTGCAACTCGATTAAGAAGCAGCCCCTTCACTGTTAATCAGGTGTTTCTTCTTAAACAGAAGAGACCAGCAGCCTCGCCAGGTCGTTGCAGTGGTACCTGAGCTGCCTCTGTGCCCAGTGGAAAGGTGCTTCCCGGGCTTGGAGTGGCGGACTGGACTGCACTCTGGAGTGCAGCTTCACCGTCTCTAAAGCCCCTGCCTGGTGTGTTTTCGCAGTAACGCACAGTAACGTCCGACGGGGGCCTGCTTCCCCGAGGAGCACAGTCCCCTCTGTGCCTGTGTGGTTAAGCTGTTGCGGTCCTGTTGCACACCAAAGCTGGACATGCTTGTGTTTTTCTCCTCAGTGGCCGATACGACATGGAATCATTGAAGACTGGGATCTTATGGAAAGGTTCATGGAACAAGTGGTTTTTAAATATCTTCGAGCTGAACCTGAGGACCATTATTTTTTAATGGTGAGTGACTGGACCTAAGGAAAACATAGCTCTGTAAATTGCAGATTGCTTAGGTTGTAGGCTCAAGCTACTCTTTCCTAGGGAGTTTCTAATTCCTTCCAAACATGTTTGCATGAATCAGCTGCTTTTTATAAACAACAGAAACCTCAACAGAAATGTCTTGAGCCAATAAGATTGATTAGGGCACAGAACAGGAAGGCCAGGTTAGGCATTCTGGGCTCCTGGTGTCAGCATCTGGGAGGTGGGACCCCCTTGACTTTGACGGCTTGTATCGGTTCCTCCTGGGCTCCAGAATGGTTGCCTGAGTTCCTGTCACTGCTTCTGCGCAGATGTAGAAGAGGTTTCCTTTGGGTATCAGCTTGTAATAAGCTTCTTCCCTAGAAGCCTTCCTAGCAGCTTTGCCCCATCCACTCATCCTACCCTAGGCCCTTGAGGGAGGAGCAGCTTGCTTTGACTGATGTGGGCTAAGCAGGGTCTCTCCCTGGACTGGGGAGCAGGGTGACATGACTTGCACCCTGGGCAGAGGGTAAGTACCTGAGCAGGCCTCCACCTGCAAGCAGCAGAGAAGGAGGCGGAGTTTGGGATAGGAAACCGACTCTGTAGTTCCGTATCCATGAGAAATAGATGGATGCTATGATTATTACCACTTTTCATACCAGAAGAAACTGAGTTAAGGTGCTCTTCTTTTTCCCTAGGGTTTGATGTATTATTGCAAAATGAAGTTCAGCAGAGTTATGAGTTCTACTTATGATACTTAATTGGTCTTATTCATTACAGAAAACATAGAGAATGAGAAGAAATATCTTGGTTCTCAGATCTGTTCTAATTGTTCTATTCAGAATTACATGTTTCCTTCCATGAAATGTTCTTTTTAAGTAAAAATTGTGTATGTAAATGCTTACTTTGTTTTGTTTTGTTTTTTTGGGTTTTTCTCCGGTACCGGGAACCGAACTCACGGCCTTGCACTTGCCAGGCAGGTGCTTTTGCCGCTGAGCTAAGTCCCCAGCCCCGTAAATGCTTACTTTGTGAAGCAGTTTCATATGACATAAGCTGTATATTAACCTCCATGACTTAACTTTGGATTTTTTTCTATGCAAGTACATTGTTCAGTGGTCCCACATCCAATGATACAATTCTTTCTAATGTTAGAATATATACTGTTCTTCAGAATTACCTGGTTTAAAAATACGTTAACAGTAAGGCTAATCGTTAGTGGAATCTGTACCCTTAACATTACTGCAGTGAGTCCTTGATCCCTCTTGGGTGCTGGGGTGTGAGCGCACAGCCTCACTCACGGTAGGGGGCGCTCACCATCCCCAGCTGTGCCTCCACAGCCGGGATTGTCCTGTATGGCTACTGTGTTTCACAGACCACTCCGTGTACTTTCTCTCCTGTATGTGTGTGGAGGTTTAGATAAAATAAATCTACAGATCAGTAGTGTATAGTTAGCTTTGTCATTATGGCCAAATCGAATCACAGATTCCCACCTGTGAGGTCTGGCCCTCTCCCTGCTCTAGCGTCTCCCCAGCTACTGTTGGGTAGGGTTTTGGGTGCAGACCACGCCCACCAGCTTCTTCCTGTCTGCCTGAAGCTTACTGTGCCACGAGTTCTTCTCCCTCTACTTGTTCTAATCTTAGGCCTGTAGAGCAAATGCAGGCGATCAGGCCACAGCCACAGGACCTTTTACTAGAAGGCAAAATTTCTCATTTAGGTGGTGTATATAAGCTAGTAAAATGTGATTACTTGCCAGGCAGGAGTTGGAGGTGTTTGGTGTGAACATAGAAAAGTCCATTTGCTGCAAATAGGCCACTTCACAAAACAACTAAATTTATTATTAAAATATAAGAAAATACTGTATCATGTATACTGTGCTTTGAATTCTGTGAGTTTGTTCGCGTGATGTGGTTGAGGAAGTGATGTGGATATGTGGATGGTAATTTCCTTCCAGTTTCTGTCCTGAGAAATACACTCTAGGGAGGCTGAAACAGTTTAGTTTCCTAAATGCTCAGGTTTAAGGGAAACTGCTGCACTGGTAAAGAAGCCTGCAAAGAACACTCAGCTGCAGGTTTTCATGTAGACGCCAGTAGCTTTTACATGTTGATTATTGATTAAACATTGCTTACCACAGGAAAATGTACCACCTTTGAAATTTTAGAGGTGAATGTATAAATCCACCATTATCTTGAAACCTCTAGGTAAAGTTCAGGTAATAGCTCTGTGAAAGAACTGCTTTTCATGAATCTGGTGCATTTAGAAGCTGGGAATCATTTCTTAGCACACCGTACCTGGGAATCACCATTGTGGTATGTCCTGACTTCCTGTACAGTCTCTGTGCTCCTGAGCGTGACTAGACCTGCCTGGGCCACTTCAGAGCTGCTAGCCCTGGACTTGCCACGTGTGTGCATGCATGCATGCCAGCCTAGGAGCCCTCTGCCTTCTGCATGTTTTCATCTCATTGAGATTGCGTTGAATATGTACAACAATTTTGGGAGTATGGCCATTTTCACAGTGTTGGTTCTTCCTATCCATGAGCAAGGAATATCTTTCCATTTTCTGAAATCCTCTTCAATCTCTTTTTTTCAGAGTACTGTAATTTTCACTGTATAGATCATTTATTGATTCCTAAGTATTTCATTTTTTTATATGCTATTATGAAAGGTGGAGTTTCACTAATTTCTCAGTGTGTTTTTTGTTTGTGTACAGGAATGCTACTGATTTTGAGTGTTGACATTGTATCCAGCTATGCTGCTGAATTTGGTTATTAAATCTACAAGCTTTTTGGTGGAGTTTTTGGGATCTTCTATGTAGAGTATCATGTCATGTGCAAATAAGGATAATTTCCCTTCCTTTCCTATCCTTATTCCTTTTATTTCTCTTTCTTGTCTAATTGCTTTGGCTAATGTTTCCAGAACTATATTGAATAGGAGTGGTGACATTGGGCATCCTTGTCTTTTTCCTGTTTTTAAAGTGAAAGCTTTCAGTTTTTGTCCATTTTGTATGATTTTGACACTTGGTTTGTCATACATGACTTTTATCAGATTGAGGTAGAGACCATCTGTCCTTATTTTCTGTAGCTTTTTTTTTTAATCATGAATGAGTGTTGGACTTTATCAAAAGCTTTTTCTGCATCTGTTGAGATGATCATGTGATTTTTGTCTTTGGCTCTGTTGATATGGTGTATTACGTTAATTGATTTGTGTATGTTGAACCATCCCTGCATTCCTGGGCTGAATCCCACTTGGTCCTGATGTATAATCTTCTTGATGATTTGCTGTGTTCTGTTTGCTGGTATTTTATTGAGAAGTTTTGTATTTATATTCATTAGGGAAATTGGCCCGTAGTTGTCTTTTTTGGTAGGGGCTTTCTCAGGTTTTGGCATGAGGGTAATACTTGCCTCTAGGAATGAGTTAGGGAGAATTCTTTCCCTTTCTTGTAGAATTCAGCTGTGAATCCATCAGGACCTGGGCTTTTCTTTGTTGGTAAGTTTTTTTATTACATTTTCTGTTTCATTAGCTGATACTGAGTTATTCAGGGTTTTTATATCATTTTCATTCAGCTTTGGTAATTCATATGTATCCAGGAATCTCTCCATTTCCTCTGTGTTTTACATCCTATGAGAGTAAAGATTTTCAAAGTAGGTATTGATCGTCTTCTGAATTTCCACAGGATCTGTAGTGATTTCATCCTTTCCATTCCTTTTTGCATGAATTTGGGTTTTTTCTTTCTTTTTTTTGTTAAGGTTGGCTAGAGGTTTACCAGTTTTATTTATCTTTCAAAGAACCAACTCTTCCATTCGTTAGTTCTTTGTATTTTCTTAGTCTCCATTGCATCAATTTCTACTCCGATCTTCTTCCCCTTTTTGGGTTTTGGGCTTGACTTGCTCTTCTTTTTCTGGAAACTTGAGGTGTAGCATAAGATTGTTTATTTGTGCTTGTTCTGTTTTCCTGATTGGGAATTCATTGCTATAAATTTCCCTCTGAAGACTGCTTTCATTGTATCCCATAGGTTCCTGCAAGTTGTATCTGCATTTTTGTTTGGTTGTAAACATTGTTTAATTTCATTTGTGACCCTTGGTTATTCAGGAGGGTGTTATTTACTTTCCATGTGTTTTTGGAGTTTTTGGGATTTCTTTTATTATTAATTTCTAGTTTCATTGCACTATGGTCCAGTAGTATGCATAGGATAATTTAAATTCCTTTACATTTACTTGAGCATGTTCTGTGGGCTAGTATGTGGTCTACTATAGAGAACATCCCATGTGCAGCTGAGAAAATTGTGTATTCTGATATTGTTGCGTGGAATATTATAAACGTCTACTAAGTACGTTTGCTTCAATGTTTGGTTCAGTTCTGTTATTTCTTTGCTGATTTTATTTCTATTCATTCTCTCTCTTTGTGACAGGAGTACTAAGGTCCCCATTATAATTATGTTATTGCTTATTTGATTTTTCATGTCTATTAAAATTTGTCTTACATAGTTCGGTGCTCCCACTTTTGGTGCATATACATTTATGATTGTTCTCTCTTCCTCTTGAAGTTCTTCCCCTAACAGCTATGTGGTGACCTTCTTTATTTCTTTTGCTTGTTCTTGGTTTAAAGTTCACATTGTCTGCAAAAAGAATAGCTACTCCCACTTTTTTCGGGGTTCCTGTCCCATGGAGTATTGTTTTCAGTCTATGAATTTCCTTTTGAGTTAAATGTGTTTCTTGTAAACAGCATATTTTTAAAATTTTTTTTTTATTTTAAAGAGAATAAAAAATAACAAAATAACAACATAGACAAAAGCAGTATATTGTTGGATTTTGTTTCTTGATCCACTCTGCCAGTCTGCTTCTTTTGATTGGTGAGTTGAGACTGTTTACATTGATTGTTATAACTGATATGTATTGGCTCAGCTTTGTCATGTAACTTTTCTGCTGTTGGTTCCCTACCTTTTCCCTCTGTTTAATTACTTGCTGTGCTTGGTGGTTTCTTGCTATTCTTGTTCTTGAAACTGTGGTC